CCGGGTCGTTGCGATTCGGGCACGCATGAGCCTTGTGCAAGCCTGGCTGGGCGCCATGAATAGCAAACCATAGGATCAGGTTTCTTTCTCAGGACTTCCCCAACACTGTGAAGATAGTGAAGCGCAAAGAGACGGAGTGTTTGATCCAACCCTCCCAGTATAGTTTGGCCTGCTGGCTTTCTCCAAAGTGTTCTAGTCGAAAGGGGTAGGCTCAACCGTGTTTGATTTTATATGCAGACATGCATATCAGTGTCGACATCATCCTTTTATGGTGTCTTGTTCGATCTGAATCCTGTCCTATCCTAGCCTGCCAATCCTGTCCTGTCCTATACATATGTACATGCACGCATCTGCACACACACATGTCTACAACATGTTATCATGATATATATATATATACACACATGCGTGCATGTAAATGTATATTTGTTTTACTTTATTTAAGTGCTTGTATATAAAAATGTATACTTTTGCATATATGCTTGCAAATATGTACATATACATATACATCTGCACTGTTTGCTGGACCCGTAGGGTTTTCGGCTTTTCACACTCAGGAGCCCTTGGCCCTGGCCAGGAGCACGCCTTCCGCTTACTCAAAAAGGGGGGGGGTGGAGCGGGAGATCCGATCCGTTTTTCTTCTTCCTTCATTAAATCAAAGAGGGAAACAAACCAAAATTCCGGTTTTTATTACTTGGAGGTTTGGTTTAAAAAGAAAAAACTGGTTCCTGGTTCTTGTTGTCAATCCGTCAAGTTTGGATCGGTGGTTTGGAATTGAACGGGCCCTGGTTCTTGTGGGTCAATGGGACGCCCCAAACCACCGGGCTCCAAACCGCCTTTTTGAGGGATGCTGCAAGTCCTTCAGCTTCAGGCCATGGGATTTGGGTGAGGAGCTCCTGTATTATATGACTGCTGTTGGGTTAGATCTTGAGGGTTAAACGTTTTTTGGTTGAAACAAAGGGTGTGTTTCCCACTCAACCCCTCAAAAGTTGTTTCTCCATTTTTTGGCAGGGGGGGAAAGCAGCAACCAAGTATTGTGCCTGGTTGCGCAATCCATTTCGCACCACCGTTCAGAAAAACCTAGCGGAATGATTCGATTCCCCGGCGTAAGTACGAACAAGCACCGGTTTCAAAAGGGAAGTTACGAGTTCAGGTTTTGGAATGCGTCAGATATTGGAAGGGTGGTAATGTCAGATCGTGCACAAAAGAGCTGGGTCTCATTTCGATCGCGCCCGCTGCAGGTTCATTGGGGGATGGTCTCAATCGAAGGCTTATGCAGGTTGGCCTTTGCAAGGGATGGCATTTGCGGGGAAGTAGAGCAGGGGAGAGTTCCACAGTCAGGGACCCTTGGAAAAACGAACTTAACGACGGCCTGCCCCCGTTCCCAAACGACGGAGAAAAAAAAAAAAAAAAAAAAAAAAAAACGGATCTTTTCCCAGGTTCTGCTTTCACCAACTCCATGATGTTGCCCAGTCTGAAAACCAGTGAGGGCCCGGAGTTGGCTTCCGAGCAGCGCTGAACTACTTCCAGTCGCCAACCCTCAAGGTCAAAGCTGGACTTCAACGCACTACCCATACCCTGGCCGAAACAGATTCATGTAAACGAGGGTACGGCTGATTTCATGGCCCCTTGACAAGGGCCGCTTATGACTGGGGTACACCGGCCGCATGGTATTGATCATGGTTTGTGCTGAGAGTCGCTTTGATGTTTTATCCGTGCCCTGCTCTCCTCTCTCTCTCTCTCTCTGTTGTGGTTGTGTTGCGCTGTTTTGTGTAGTGCAGTGTTGTGTTTTGTGTGTTTGGTGTGTGTGTGGCGGTTAGATCAACCTTAAAGCATGTCAAAGCCACCTGTACCCAATTTGTTTTGCCACCAAAGCAATCGAAACCGACCGACCAACCGACCAACCAACCCACCAACCAACCGACCAACCAACCGACCAACCAACCAACCAACCAACCGACCGAGCAGCCAACCGACCGACCGACCAACCAACCAACCGACCGACCAACCAACCAACCAACCAACCTAAAGGAACAAAACACAAGAAGACAACAAGACAACAAAGAGAACCCCCCGCACCCGCCTCCTCTCCGGGCCAGCGGTAGGAGTTTGGCCGCAGCCTCCCTGGGGATGGCCGCAGGCCTCTCTGCGCTCGTCTGGAGTGGGGTACATCCACTGCGCGACAGTTCTGTCCCCGAATTTAAAGGTTGAACGTTCGGGAAAAAACGGTTTGCTTGGTGGCTAAAATGTGAATTCAGAGTCTGAACATATGGGGGTTGATCAAAGTTGCCTGTCCCGCGTGGTGAAAGTCAGATCTGGTTGGGTAGTTTCCCTAGGATCTAAGGTTCATCCAACGTACTGGACGTTTTGATCAACCTTAAGAGGATTAGATTCAGGAACCCTGCGAAGGCAAGGAGTTTCAGGACATGTTTTTTGCCTAGCGCCGTTTGTTCCAGCAAAACATCAGGAACCCCGACCAACGAGCATGCCGTGCGTGTTGTGAATGGTCAACTTGGACTCATTCCAAATTCCCTGGGATTGCCCACCAGGTTCTGGACAAAGGCCTGATGGCCCGATACCCTGCAGGGCAAAGGTGGTGGCGCTTTGCTTCCTGCCTTCCCAGGTCACAGCGATACTGCCGGTGAAGTCTTGCAACTGAAGGAAGCTCTGGGTGCCAGGGTACACCCTTGTGGGTTCTAACCAGGCACTTGAGAAACCGGCAGAGAGGCAGCCAAGACCATTCCAGCTCAGCCGATTTTGACGGGGTGGGACTCCTGAAGTTGAGATGGAGTCTCACGCATGGGATGGCAGCACGCGCATAGTCAGGGTTCATGGCACATCTGAATTCCCTCCAGTTCCTGCCTCAAGGTCAAGTATGGCCCGAAGAAGTTCCAGGAGGAAAGTCGTCTTTCTACAGGGGTCTGTGCACTTCCATGTTAGCTGTTGGGAGGGTAAGCCCCAGTAAGCCTTGTCGAACCTCCTAGCGCCCCAGAGGACGGTTTGACTTACCTTTGCGCATTGAAGGTGTGGAATTCCCCAAAGGCGGGTTCTCCAAAAGCAACTTTATTCGAAGATGGTTTCTCCATACTCGGGGTTGTGACCTGTGACGCTTTCGGCAAGTGCCAGGCAGCACACGCGCCAGGCTGGGAATATGGCGTTCACAGTGCATGCGTTCACAGTGCTTCGCGAGTGGCCTGGGCCGTTTAGAATCTACGTGGTAGACATGGCCAAGTCAGCGTCCGAATAGTCGGCCGTTCATTGGAACAGCCTTTGGGTCTTGGGTAGCTGGAAAACAAAAGGTGATCGCCCTTATTTGCAGGCCCTTGGGATGCAAGCCAGTATGGCCCAAGGCCTGGTGAGAGGGCGGCTTATTTCTCTGGACAGTTGGACTTTCGCCCGCAGGCACTCGGGTCGAAGACTCGATTTGGGGTGTTCCCACTACAAAAACCACATGGACATGGGTCAAAATCCCGTACCCCCCCAGTGAACATCCCAATCCCCACTAAAATAGACTAAAATGATTGTACCCCAAAATGGTACCATTGGTATTGACCCACAGCCACGTTGCAATTGACTCATGGGACAGACAGAAGGTGTTTTTGTTGCCTTTATGGAGGCCAAAGGGACAGCGCCATGTCTTGAGTGCCCCTCCCTCCATTTTCAGGCAAACCCATGCTTTTCATGGAGCCCAAAAGTCGAACCCCCCCCCAAACGAGACTCGTCTCTAAGTTGGAGCTCTGAAGAAACAGGCGCTCCATTTGCCAGGCCCTGCAGCGACGCTCGGCCGCAGGGAGGCGATGTTCGGGTGGCAAAAATTGTAGCAACCAGACCCCCGGCCAACCAGACCCCCGGCCTTTAAAGCGAAGCAAAAAGGAGGTTCTTGAAACAGGGCTCCTTAAAAGATACATTTTGCCCATTTGAAACATGTTGCTTTTTCACACCAAAATGCAGAAATGGAAACCACCATTTACAAGTTGCAATGTTCAGGTGTTTTTCATGTAAGGATCCCTGTTTAAACTAATGTCTAGCCATGTTGAACTGGACTCGGAGCGGGCATCTAAATTTACTTTCAAAGAGGGAGCTCCTGCAAGGACATGGTAATTAAGCAAGAACTCGGCCAAGGTGCCTGACCGGTAGTTTGTCAAGGTGAGCGTGCTAGAGCTTTGGAATCAGACGGACTTTTGGAACAGTGGTTCTGGACATGGCAGTGCTTCAAGGTTCCAAGCAGAGTAAACAACATAATGTGGGTCTGTCTGATTGTTTTAAGTAATGCGAGAAGGAACACCGCTATTTTGAGGGATCCCCTAACAAAGGACCCACCCATGTTTGTCATATTGGCGAATTTTAAGGACAAAGCATTTACTCAGCGGAAGCTTCTGGAGCTGTTGGAGCCCCGTGCCACCCCCAAAGGGGACGCCAGGAATCGACCTGTGTGGACTTTTGGGCATTGGCAGCTCTTGGTGTGGCGTTTGATGGAGCTGTTTTGTTTCAAGTCTTCTTTTGCGTTAGACGGCTGGCCTTTGACAGTCAGGTAAGCCTCACTGGGTGCTTTTGATGGATGGTTTGGATTTGGATTTGAACCCCCCCCGGTCCTGGCCACCAATCAGAGGGAAGCTGACATGTATCCACATAGTTGCATATGCCTCGTTTTGGAGACCTCGTGGGAGATTCCTGTTGCTTTGTTCTCGTGGGGAATCGAGGCCCAATTGGGACGTTTTTTTTTTTTTTTTGGTCGCTCAAAGGAAAACGCGTTTGAGGACAGGGCCCATTTGAGGGTTTTTAGAAAGATCACGTACGAACCCATTTCTCTAGGCTTGATTCCCCATTCTCTTCAACCATGGTTCTTTTCAAAAACCAGCCGTTTTCCCCTTGGATTCTGGAGGTTTTCGAGAAAGAATGATTTTTTTTAATGAGGAAGGTACCCCTAGAATTTCTCCTTTGGCGGAGTCTTGAGGACCCCCAATTCCCCTCTGAAGGTGGTGGCCATCGCCGGGACCCGCAGCTGTTTCCGTTTCAAGAGGCCACCACTTCGGAACGGAGGGGGGGCGCTGCCTCGGGCATGGTTCGAGTGCTCAATTGCGCCTTGGCGGAATCCGGAATTGGTTTCCCATCAGGATTTTGTGTTGCAAGCGGAAAGGCCTGAAACTTCGATACATTTGGGGATCCTTCTTGGAGACAGGTGGCTGGTTTGCCTTTATTTTTTTCAAAGCGGTCTTGAGTTTTGTGCGACTGAATCACTACTGCGTTGATGTTGGTTAGGCACCACGAGCTCCTAAAACCTCACTCGAAAGTCGAAAGAGTCCAGAAGGGCGCAGATTGGTTTCTTTTTGCTTGGACCTCTCCCCTGCAACCTGGAATGCAACCCACAAAGGGGTCCCCACAAGGACATGTCTTTATAAATGTTTGTTTTCGCGGTTCCATGGTCAATGTGCAGGGGTGCACGGTAGGTACGTGTATCCTTTAAGTAGTTGACTTAACGTTTGTAGCTTTCCTGGAAAGTTTGTGTTTCCCCCGCACGAGGAACAAGTGCACAACTGTGCGCAGTCCCGATCGGATTACCACTCCCGCTATAGCTTCCCGCATGTTTTTCATGGATTTTTTTTTTTTACAATTGGCCAACCCCCTGGTTGAACAATGTATTTTCTAAAGTGAAGCGATGGGTGAAGAGAATGGGGAACCAACCCATATGACGAGCTCTAGGTGTAAAACGGGTAAAAACGGTCAAACATGGTCAAACCTAAGCCATCGAATCCCATCATGAATGATCTTTTTCGGAGTTCCCTTAAATCCAGCGGATTCCCGTAGATCTGGGCAGCCTAGATCCCCTCCATTGCCGGGACAGCACAGCTTCAGGTGCCGGTACTCCCTGGTGCTCAGTGGACCCCCGAACCTCCCAAACAATCCAAACCAAGCCAACAGTTGCTTCCGTTTGCTTAAGAATATGTCTTTATTTTCCCTTGTTGGTTTTAAGTTTAAAGGGAATCTATCACTATTGTTGTTTTTCCCAGGGGGCTTAAGCAAATGGAGGGTTAGGGGTAAGGTAAGGTATTGTTAGCTGGGAGCTGCCAAAGATGCTGAGCTTGTCAAAGCTGTTCAAGCCTGTTCAGCGAACCGTCTTACTGTCATTTGGGAATCTCACAAACCCACTGGATGCCACATGTGTCTCAAAATTGTGGGCCCCTGTGCAGCGCGGTCTTTGACGAGTAAGCAACAAGGGTACGCGTTTTTTTCTTCTTTTCCGAACGTTCTTCGGGGTGCCTTTTTTTGAGGGGCCCACCGTATTTTGTGGGTTTCCAGGGAAACCAAACGGAAAGAAACACCATTTGGGGGCGGGGTCCACCAAAAAAGAATTACAATTTTAGTGCGGTTTTCCTACCTAAAGAAGAGCAAGGGGCCTGATGAGTTGGTTTCTTTCTACCCCAGTTGGTGCCGGCAGTCGTTTGCTTTGCCGAAGCTTGAGCCTACGCGCCACTTCTCCAGCATATTGCGCCTTTCGTCAGCCTCCACGCACCATGCGTCGCCATGCGTGCAGCTGCACAGCTGCTCCCATGTCAACATGTACAAGTCTCATGAGCCCGCAGGGCCCAATGGCGGTACAGAGGCAGTATATTCTGAAGCGCTTGAAATGATGAAGCATTCAGAGGTTTACAGCATATAATATATACATATACATACATATATATATATATACATATATATGCGTGTGTGTGTGTATATGCTTGTACGGTTAATGGAGGCGGCATCCAGATTTGCATAGCCATTTGAAGCGCAGAGGCCCACAGGCCGGCGCTGGAGCTAGAATAGAAGCTCCCGCTGCTATGTGGTTTCGCCTGCCAAGTGCGGAACGAGGAACGAGTAGATGAACGGTTGGTAAGCCATTCTATGCTTTTTCCTGGGCGCCCATCCCATTGTTCCTTATTAGGCCCCATTTGTCAGCAAGTGTGCCTGTGTCTCCTCCCTGCTCAGGTTAGAAATTTTAATCAGAGGCGCGACGGGGCATTGGGACGGAGGCTGACGAGTGTTTGGCCATCCCAAGGATTCCCCTAGTGACGAACTGCGTTCCTCAATGCTCAAACAATTTATAGTCAAGTTCAATGCTAACTTGAACAATGTTTGGGCCAGGAGTGTCGGGGGACCGAAGGTTCTGCAAACCGAACAAGTCCCTCTATCAATGAGCCTGTGTTCTGAGCCTGTGTTCTTAAGTTATTTTCCACGCTCTGTTGCATTTGTTTTATTATTGTCAGGGGAAAGGGGAGATGCACTCAGTCCAGCCTGCCGATCCTCTCTCTTGGTGTCATGGGTATCCTTCTTAGTTGCCACTGCAAGGGATAGGAGAGCCCCAGCCGTTTGCGGGGTGGGCGGACGGGTGGGGGGGAATTAAGCAACTTGCCAATGTAAATGAGGGTCCGTCACCAAGTTCCCAACCTGTCCATGTTAGCTGGAGCCATCAGTTGAATTCAGATCATAGTTCAGGTTTCGTGCCAATGTTGGTTTGCCTTTCGTCTGATGTGATCGCTTCTTTTTTTCTGTTTGGTGTTGGGGCGGGGGGTTATTAGGGTGGGAAGGGCCTCATGAAGTATCCTTTGGAGAGATACACCCATCTCGCTGCTGGATGTAAAGGCACAGTCCATTCACTTGCTCCCATATCCACCGACTCTGGCCACTTTTGCCTAAGAAGGCGGCTTGCACTGAGCTGTCCGACGAGCAAACTCAACCGGAAGCATGGGGAAGAATCAACGGCCGGTTAATTCAGGGAAGGTTGGGACGGTCCCAGGCATAAATCCTTCTCATTCTTGACATGGTTTGGCACTCCGCGCCTTTGCTTAGTGCTTTGCTTAGGGAAAGGCTCGCCGCTGGAATCCACCAACAGAAGTCCCACGCTTCCCGCGGGGGTGATTGAGTCTTTGGAGCGACTAACCGTAGGTAGGTCCACCTTGGGCCAAATCCCTTGGCCGGACGGAGAAGCAGGGGAGGGTTTTTAGGTGTCGACCTGTGATTTACCCGTTTTGCCGAGTCGCTCTTTTGCTACTCCGACGCTTTGCATGAGAAAGCGCCAGCGATTTACCGCAAGCCGACCTTTGACCTCTCTGCGTTTTGGGGGGTCGCTGGGGCAAACCCTTTTTGTTCGGTGGGTTTACTACAGTTTTTTCTAGCAAGGTCACTGGTTGCAACAAGGCCATAGCTGAAATCCTGGCCCAGTTTGCATGTGGCTCATCCGTTCCACTTCCCACTGCATCCCTAATCTTGCCCCTAAGATGGTCTCAGTGGCATCATGGTAGCAACCACACTCCAAAGGTTCCGCAACCAGGGGTTAAATTCGCCAATTTCTAGGGGTTGATTCCTTTTCCATTTCTTTTCAGCCATCGTTCTTTTCACAAACCAGATCCATTTCCCCAGGGTTTTGGGTGGTTTTCTAGAAAGAAGGATGCCTGGAAAGAATGGGGAAGTTACCCCTAGAAACTTGTGTGTTGTATCCGACTTCTTGTGGCGCGGCCAATGGCTTTCCTTAGGTTCAGCGGCGCATGGCGACCTTGGGCGGTGAAGCTGCCCTTGTTGCTCAGACCGATTCGTTGGGCGGGTTCCTGCTCTCAGATGCAAGTTGAGCACAAGGAGTATATGCAGGGGTCACTGGGATTCCACTTAAAAGTTGATCAATTGCCTAGTGGGTTCCCACAAAATTGCCACTTTTGAAGATCACAAACAAAATGGAAATGGAGGGACGATATGGTGTGTGTGCGTGTGTGTTTCTTTGAGTTGGTGCCGTTAAAAAACGACTTGGTAAGGGACACCAAAGGGAAAACTTACCATGTACTGCCTCAATCCGGGTATGGGAGTGGTAAATAACAACCTTCACACCTGGAAACAAGCCCCTTGAAGATGAGCCACAATCAACACGTGCGGGCCAGTCCCATCCAGAAATGGGTGCGGATTTCGCCCTTTTTGATTTGTTGCCATAGTTTGCGGTAAACCGTTTTGGTACGAGGTGCTGATTATGACTCAGTTGGCAAAGCAACAGGTGTGATTGTTTGCTGGATCTGGGGCGGTTGAAGAACACCCTTTCTTTTGGGGTTCTGGGGCGGTTCCGGCCTTTCATCTAAGATGCTGCGTTTTTCACAGCATGTCGACTAGGTCATTCAGGCCAGATAAACAGTTTCCGCCCTGTTGTTGTCCATTTATGTAAGCCTATGTTTATTTGTCCCTGTTGGTTTGAATGGGCATCTACAATAATTACTGGACATATTTTCATTTGTGCAGCTGACTTAAGCAAATGGAGGTTGTCCAACGGTCCAACAGTTTTTGCTAGTCTTGATTGTCCAACGCGGGCCCTTGGCATTCGTTTTAACCTTGATGCTTCCCTTTTGGAAGGGGCGCTGGGCGTGAGAGGTCCCATGTGCAAGTGAAAGCGTATCGATGTGTGCCTCGGGAACCCGCACCTGGTGACATATGTTTGCGTAGCGCAATAAGTGATGGCATCAGCGAGGCCGCGGAAGTTAGCTAGCTATGTGTGTGTGCCTTTTTGTGAGGCTGCCTTCTTTTCTGGTTTTGAAGGGAAACCAAAAGTTCACCACTGATTTTGGGGGGTCCCCTAAAAACAGCGCACACCCATTTTGTTTAGACATGCCAGGGCTACAACTCAAAGGGATCACTGATGATCACCTCTCCAAGGAAAACCCTGCAGAAGCCGGGGACTTCCAAATTGTTCGGCCCTCTTGTGGTGATTAGCACACAGTGACCGTTTATTGGGGGAGGCGAGCTGATTTGACCTTGACGCGTTTCTATCATCAGGTTTAAACAGCTTCCCAAGAAGCCTCACAACCGGGGGCATGAGGCACACACGGGATGAGCCTGCTACTGGCACACCTGAAGGTAAGTATGAGTGTTTCTCTCTTGAAGGTAGCAACAGGAAAGCAACAGTTTTCTCACTTGCCCAGAGCTTACCTCTTGACCTTTGAGTTTCCCATCGTTGGTCCATGTCTAGAAATAGCCCCCCACAAGGTAATCGGGTACTTTGGTTGCAACTTTAGGTTGAAGTGAGGGCAAGCCAAAAAAGAAGAATTTGGCGGGGGGGGGGGTCATCCTGGCACATACCACATAGGCTCCCTGCTCTCGGGGATTGAAATTCACACCCGCTCAGAGAGCTTCAGGATGGTCGTGCGATGTCGTGCCCTTTTGAAGCCCAGGCTTCGCCAATGATGATGCCTCTACTTTTGCCCCTTGGCCTGGGCGACTTAAGGGGCTACTTGCCTCCTCGTTTGGAATGCAAATGGGGGAAAGGCGCATCTTGCATTCGGTTCCTGAAGCAGGGCTTAGCTATTCGCGGAGGTTCTGCTACAGTCGGCACTGGAGAAATGCACCTCGCAAACGGCGGCGTTTGTTTCAAAAGCATCCAAAGCGCTTGGGGGCAGCTGAGAGGTGCACCTTCTTGATCGTGTCCATGCAGCTGGGCTTCGCGATGCTGGAGGTGGGCTGCGTGCGGCAGGAGCACCGGATGACGGTCCTGGCCCGGAGGCCCAGAAAGTCAGCTTGCTCTAAGCTCCAGAATTATATCACACGTTGGGTTGGGGGGTGGGGGGGGGGGTTGGCGCAAAGGCCAGGATACCTTTGGGCCAAAAGAAACTTGCAGGATACCTTTGGGCCAGTTCAAAAGTCACCTAGCTGCTTTCGAGGACTGTCTGCAGTTGGACAGGGAGTGCTTCTACAGGGTACATTTTTCCTTGGCGTGTTTTATTTTGGGGATGTATCCTTCAGTCACCACGACCAGGACAACTGAACCAATTCTATGACCCGTTGGTCTGGACGGCCAAAAAGTTGGCGTACTGTACGCTTCCCTTTGTCAGAACGTGATTGTTTGAAGAGAGCATGGGTGTTTCTGAAATTAGGGGGGCCAACCAGGACTATTCTGAGAAAGACCAGGTATAGAAGCCCTCATTCTAGCTAAAAAGGGTGCTGGTTCGCCATTCTCCTGGAACTGTCGTTGCTTACCGAAACCTCGGCGGCTTTTCCTTGGGTGGAGAAAGAACCCCGCGCAGCTTCGTGGGTTGACTTGTTTTTAACTCACTTCCTGAGTTCCTGGACTTTTAAACTTTGTGGGTTTCGACCATTTTGATGGTAAACAACAAGTTCCTGGACTATTTTTGGCCCATCCACTTCCTAGAGTGAGCCTGCTCACGCACCCGTGCGGACTTGCGGCTCGCACATCTCCGCAATTGAGGGGGCATATTTTTGGTATTGGGGTCCGAAGCACATAGGTTGACGCTGCTAAGGGCCACCAGACTTGATACCCGATTGTGTCGTCCTGCTTCCCTTTTTGTTTAATTGGTATTATCTCGAAAAGGTCATATGCAAAAAGGGCCTTTTCTCTTCCAGGGTCATCGGTTGCAACTGGCGGCGTGTGGCCAGACGTCTCTTGGCAACAGGGGCTGACTTTGATATTGGTTCAGGCCAAATTGAGAGAAAACTGCTAGTTGCTTCTTTGGTTATAGAACCATCTATATTCGTGGCGCCAGGGGGGGGGGGAGAAAAATCATTTCCAACGCGGATTAGTCCACCTGATCAATATTGGGGAAATGCGCGCCCAAGGTTCTTTTTTCTGGGCTGTTCAAAGACAATCCTTTTTGCTTACCTTGGGCACCTACTACTAGTAGGCTTGCAAAAAGATTTGGTGATTTTTAGGGATGGACTGGGACGGGCAAACGCTCGTTTTTTGTTTGTTTGCTTCGTTTTGTTTTGCACAGCCCAATTTTTCTCTCGGCACCTATTGCAAGGCCAAGAACCTCCTCGACACCATGATCTCCAGCTTGTGTTTCGCTGTTGCCTGCCAAATTATCCGGCCCGGACCCTCAGAATATGGATCGTATGTTCGCTGCAACGCCCCCCCGTTAGCCTCTTAAAAGAGGGTTGCGCGAAAAGAAGGGTGGCTGGTTGGACTCTCTTGTGGCCTCCTTTGCAGGAAAAGTGGCTCAGTGCTCAAGGGCGCCGGGGTCCAAAATTGGGACCTGGTGGCCTTGCAGACGCTTAAGAGGGAGGATGCCAGTCGGATTTCCTCGAGGCCTCATGGAAGCCTCACCCGGTTGAAAGACTTACTCGTAGTCTCATGTACATTTGCCTGGCTTTCATATTTGAGGGGAGTGTTTTGAGTGTCTTGGGGGGGGGGGTTGTGAGCCCCTGGGCAGCCAGAGTTTGCAACGAGCTCACTGATCAGGTGTGTAACGGTCGCTTGCCCAGAGATTCACCTACCCTGAAAGTTGGGATTTGGACGAATTGTCTATGTCCAAGCAAGTTTGGGCGAGCCTCTCCAGATGAGGGGGAGCTGTTTGGGCGAGCTTGCAGCACATTTTGTATTTTGTGCCAACCCCACAAGGGGGTGGTAGTTTTTCCATATTGGCAGCACAGGCATGCTCAGGTCTGGGTAGGCTGGGGGGGGGTTGCTTCTGCACCCCGCACATGCACAACCCCGCTGCCATTCATGGTCCGACGCGGGATATGGATACGCTTGCTGGACATGTGGTCACTACCCGCTACTTTATGTTCCATTGCGGTACCCACTGAAGAATTCTTGTATGAAGCTGCCAAAGAAAGTTGAATTCCCATGGGGAGCTTTAAACAAAAAGTTGGATTCCCACGCCCTTGCTTGTATTTCTGGTGGGCTCCCTAGGGCTTTCTATTTAAAATTTCGGGGGGAAGTTTCGCATCCACTCCAGAAGACTGCGTGCAGCATTGACTTTCGGCTTGGGGACGGGTGGAGGGAGAGTGTTAGCGCCTTTGACTGCCGAATGTTTGCCTGGGGCGTTAATGTTAGTTCATTCTGACCCCGTGCAGCATTGAGAAGTGGGCTTTGGGTCTGGGGTGGGGTGGGTGGGGGGGAGATGAACTTCTTGCTCTTCTTCTTCTTGGCGCGCAGCATTTGCCCAACTTTTGACTGACCACGAAAGCATGAGGTTCCGTGGAAAAACCACGGGCCCCTCGCGGGGTTGGTTCCTTGTTTTTCTTCTTTCTTCTCTCAAAAAAAAAACCTTGGTCTTGGCACGTGCCAAAATGAACTTGCACAAGAGGTAGCTTCTCCAGACAAAGTGCCTGTCCTTTGTGCATATGTTCATTGTTTTCCCTGTTGGGCGGTTGATGTTTTCCGGCAGCATGTAGTTGAAGCAGGAAACATCAGGACCGTCTCAGAGCACTGGCAAAATCCACAAGGCGTGATGGATGACACCTTGTGAATACCGGGGTAGTGCGTATTTGTGCAAGGGTTGATTCACAACTCTTCGGCTGAAAGCTGTTTGTGAGTCAAGCCGGAGATGTTGGGCACATCCACCAACATCAACATGGAGCATATCCCCTCACCAAACATGGGATATCCCCACCAACTTGGCTACATACACCCTCACAGGGTTGGGGCAGCGGGTTGTGGTGAAGTGGTAGAAATCTCGGTTTTTCCCCTGTGAGTTTCAGCACTTGCGAGGCCCAGCATCGTCATGCGCGAGGGCCAGACGGAGCCGGGGATTCTTCTGTTTCTCAGAAAGTCCCTTGGGAATCCACCAGAAGAAATCAGCCCCAGTCAAATCTGAATGGAGAAGATCAACTTCCAGTTGTTTTCATCAAATGAGGGAGTTCCCTTGAAGGGGCCTCCTCAAGCAAAAGCTTTCACAGGGTCCGAGGCACTGCTTGTTTCTCAACCCTGGTTGCATCAAGCCAGGGTTATGTTTACTGCGGATGCGGACGCTACTCCAAGCGGATCCTTCTAAAGTGGCTTGCTTCCCCAGCAAGGGGTCCTATCTTGGGTCTCATTCCTCATGAGCACGATCCAGATAGATCGGAAAGTTGAGCTTAGGGCTCTAGACCGCGGTTCCCGAGACATAGTGTGGTTTTGTTCTGGGCTCAGCCGGCCATATTCAGTTAGCCCATGACCAACTCAATCTTGTGCCACCTTGCACTAGTTGGGATTTGTTTTTTTCTTGGGGTCTTTCAGCTTGAGTGACGGGTAGGTTGTGGTAAAAGATGAAACGGTTTCCAACTTGTTCCCTTGCACCCCCTTCATCTGTTGTGATTCGGGCACGAGCCTGTGCCCAGGCAATGGGTAAGTTGGGGTAAACAAGCCACAAAAGAAAGGTTCCCCAAAAGCAAACCAATCCCCGGTCCCAAAGATCAGGGTTTCCCACACACCAGAGAACAACAACCAAAGGAAAACAAACCAAACCAGAAAAGGATACCCGCAACCTAGATCGACGATGAACCGCACGGGCGATCCCCACCAACCTACCCCGGGCCGAAGTCTCTTTCTCCTCCGACACGAAGGCGGTCGACGTGAGGGCCCGGCGACGCTCATCCGAGGCGCGCCGGATCCAAAACTTGAGCCAAAACACCACAGGTCGGTCACTAACGCGACGTCCCTGATGATGATATGAACCATGGCTAATCACACCCCCCTCACGAGGAGCCCGTCATATGACGGGTGGAGCGTGCCATTTACTGATAGGATTTAACTGCTCGCATGCGTCCGCAAACAGCTGGACACTACCGCCGTCAGCGGTGGAGCAAACCCACAAAGGCAGTTGCGCGACATCCCGGGCATTAAATTCCCGCCACCACCCCGAATTAATCGGGGTAACGCTGTCCAACACACCTTGTGGAAAAGTCCACATGACGACACTAGGTCACAACTGTTTGCATCAACAATGCAAGAAGTTTAATTCTTATCAGAAGCCATGAAAAGAAAGATAACGTATGTCCAATAGTATCCTCGCCTAACGGCAAGAGATACCCCTGACCATGCGTACCTGAAAAATGCTTGAATTCCGCAAACCCGGGAGTAACCCCCCATCAGTTTGCTTTCCCTCTCACTCACACTGCTTCCGGATGAGCACGTCCAGCAGCTCAGCAGCGGTACGGGAGAGACATGACCTCCGCGCCTCAGCGGTCCGGGAGGAACATCACCACCTCCACACCGCGCCGACCATTGGAGAATGGACGCAAGCCTATCGGCCGCAATCCCCGTGACTCAGCCTACCGGCTATCGTCACGTCTCCTCCGGTCACGTCCGCCCCGCGCACGGTCCCTATCACGATCCCTTTCGGATCTCCTGCGATCATCTCGCCTTCGATCCCGCTCCCGATCGAGTGAATCATCATCACGACGATCACGAGCATCGTCCCTCCTCCTGTCGCGATCATCCTCGCGCCGCGGACGATATCTGCGCCTTCTCGACTCTCTGGAATCCCTGGTGTCCACGGTCCTAACGGACCTCCGAGAAGGAGTACGGGAAACATCCGATTCCCTACGCCTCCTCCCAGATTGAGAGTTCGTCACGATCTGGTTGAGAGCTTCCAGTGCCGACGCGTCCTCACCATTTCTGATGAAATCCCTAACCTGCTTGTTCAGCACTCTGTTGGTGGAGATCGTCAAGAAAGCGTCCACCACCGAACTCTCAGGCAGCACCAGGAAGTGACCCTCCACCGGGCTCGCCGCGGCCCGCTCAGCAGACTGCAGCCGGATCTCCCCGCCTTCAGGCTTCTTTGCCATTGCCTTGGAGGCAGTCAAAGGCGCTACCGCGTCCTTTGCCGAAGATCTGCCAAGCGCGGAGTGAAGATCATCCCCGCTAGCCTCTCTCGCTGCCGCACCCGGTCTGCTGTCGACGTCGCCAGGCCTCGTGGATGCCTCCCGCTTTGTCGACTCTTTCGCAGCCTCGTCGGGATCCCAACGGGACTTCCTTTCTCTCTTCTGCCCTTCGGCCGACCCGCGGCTACCGCCGGGAGCGTCACCTCCGCCTGTCTTCTCCTTCTTGACCTCAACCTTCGGTTCGGCCTGCTTCGTCTCCTTAGCCACAGCTTTTGGAGCCGGAGCACTCCTCGCCTCAGATGCCGAAGCAGCCTTCCCTTTCGGCTCTGCCTTGGGAACCGGGGTCACTTTAGCCTTGGCACTCGGCCTGGCCCCTTCAACCACCATCTCGGCCCAAGACTTCTTCGGCTGAGCTGCTGCTGCATCAACCTCCATCGGAGCAGGTCCAGCGTCATCCTTCGCCTTTGGGACGGATGGGCTACCGCCCTTACCGGATCCTTTACCCGGCACTTCACCTGACTTTGGTGGCGGGCCGGAAGGACTACCGCCCTTACCGCCCTTTTCCCCCTTTTTCCCTTTTCCTTTTCCGCCCTTGGGGACCGGCTCCTGCTTGGGACCAGGACCCGGCGCAGCATGATGCACCGATTGGAGTCCCTCGATGTCCACGTCCAATGGTTCGGGTTGACGACCGTCAAGAACCGTCCTCACCCTTTCGTCGCTAACGTAGACGAATGGGTCACGGAATGGTGCGGGAGGCTCTGACTGTCCGGCACTGATCGCCTTCTGCACCTTGGCTATCGCCTCCTTCAACCTCTTCTTCTCATCATACCCTGTCTCCGATACCATGTACCCCCTGAGCTGCGACATCAACGCATGACTCTCCAGGATGTCCACGTCCTTTCGATGGGTCGGGTACAATGGGGTCAGATGACCAGCCGCAGAACCAATCACGTATGCCATCGGAATATAGAATGACAAGTACGTGTCATGACGAGCGAACTTCCTAACGGAAGTCGTCATACGCCTACCCCACTGAGCAGCGTGTCTTGGGTTGGCCCGGAAGTACTCCGTGACCGACTCAAATCTATCGACTTGGTTGGTCTTGATCAGGTGCTTCGCCACCCACTTCTCCACAAACGCATCCGAGGCCGAAATCCCGGACACATAGGAGAATTGGAAGAGCACCTTCGCCAGCTCATCCCACGCCGCATCGACACCTCCCTTGTCTTCACCAAGATAAGGGGGAAGTCTGATGCCGCTCTGCACCGTCATCCTTAGATCGGATGCCATCGAATAGGAAATCAAATTCCTCTTGATGACTCCGACCACTTCGGAGGGAATCCTCCTGGGCTTGAACTGCCCCATGGTCCTCACCCACTCCGGCACGATGTGGCACGTTTCGAAGTCCTTTTCCTCCGCGTTGGGGATAAAGTTCGGGTAAAAGACCGGGAGCGCGCACCCGGGACACAAGTGCATCCCATTCGGCATCAATTCTGCGCACCTCAAGCAGAACGTGGCAGTCACATTCAGCCTGATCTCTTCCCGTGATCGCCTGTGCTCTCCCCTAACGGGGGTGAAGTCACCGTAGTCCCATGCCCGATGGTACACTATCGTGTAATCATCGTACATATACGCCGCCTTCCAAGCCCCCATGTGGATCTCGTTCCTAACGGCAAGAGTCTTCCTTCTCGTCAAAAACACGGGTCCAACCAAGGACCAGTGCACCCGAAGATCCACCATTACCACCACGTACCTACCGGAGTAGTTCCGCAGCCTGTCCCTGACATACCACGAAGGCGATACCTCAGCATCCGGCGCCATGGCTCCCACAAGTGGGATCAGGCCCTCATCCTGCCTACCATCCCCAATGGTCTCGTACACATCGGGCCTCGTGATCAATATCTCGATCATGGCCTTTCCATTTCGCCTCACCCTTTGGAGCTGAACCGCCTTCCGAAAGTCCGAGCGAATATTGCAGCGTGCACATCGCTCAAGGCCGTCATTTCCGAAGTAACAGTGGTTCTCACAGACGTGAGTCCCACAATCCGTACAGAGATACATGGAGACCTCCTGAGCATTCTTGCGGCATGCCCAGCATTTCATCTTCAGGAACTGACAATTGCAACAGTCCCCGTCGTCACCACGGCAAAGCCCGCAGAACTCACGACTGCATGTCGCACACGAGAATTCAGCATTCGGGTGCCTACGGTCGTTGGGATCATCGAGGGCACAAATCTTTGGCGCGTCTGGGCCACCACCGCCGGGAGCCCCTCTTGCAGCCGGCGCTGAGGCCTGTCCACGATCCGAAGGAGCTCTAGCAGTCCCTCGCCTATCGCCGGGACTCTGGGCGTCGGCGCTGACTCTGCTCCCAGGAGTCCTCCACTCATCACCAGGACTCTGGATGTCGGCATGGGCCCTATTATCCCCACCACCTCCTGAATGACGACCTGGGTTCGGAGAGACGTTCCCGCTATCGCGGATTGGCCTATCAAAATTCGGAGAGACGCTCCCGCTATCGCGGATCGGCCTCTCCCCCCTCGGTTGTCGACTCCGGGCCTCAGATCCCCTATCGGGGACGGCAGCAGGCCTCGGGCTCCTATTCCTACCCGCATCCCTATTGGGGGAAATAGAAACGTCCCCCCTTGCGCGCGCGCGGGGACCACCCCTTGCACGCTCCGGTGGCGAATGCGACCTGTCAGGCAACCCCCGAACCCTCCTGCTCCTGCTGTCGGACCTCTCCCTAACGGGATAGATGGGATGCCTGTCTGCGCGAGAAGGATCGACCCTATCGGGCACATTCGGCAAAACATGATCAGGCAAAACAACGCCTTCGCCTGGTCTCACCGGCAGGCCAGTACCCCGGCCGTCACCTTCCCCTGGTGTAGGCGTCGGTGACCTGATCCTATGTCCTTGCCCCGCAAACGCATGGTAACCAACATTCCGTCTTTCTCTGGGTTGTGGAGGAGCTTCATTAATCTGCTGGACACCCTGAAGCATGCCAGCAGCCTCGTCAAATTGACCCTCCATTTCAAAGAGCTGGGACATGATTCTGTTGTTCGCGGCGCTAAGGTTACGCACGTTACCATCGATAGCGCTGACTCTCCGCATAACACCTTCAAGTGTACTCCGGAATGTGCCGAGTTCTCGCCTAACGGCAGGCTGCACTTGGTCACTGCTGGCAGGAAGATTACGGATCTGTCCTTGGATGCCATCAACGACCCGATTCACAATTGCCGATCTCGCTTCATACTGTTCAACATGTGACTTCACGGTTCAAACCTCGAAATGATGTCGTCATGATCCCGACGTTGGCGTTGAATTCCTCGAGCCAGATCCTGCATCTTCCGATTGATCTCGTCAACAGCCTCATGCCAGTCCTGCGGGGAATCATGCCCTGATGGTCTATCGACCTCCTGAGAACCCCTTCCACTCTGCAGTCTAGACACTCGATTAACAAGACGAGTGTGCTCTTCTTTGACCCCTTCAATAGATTCAGAGGCCCACTTGGCAAACTTCTCGTGTTCAAGGAGAGCTTTCTCAATCTTCAGGTTTAACTCCCTGAAATTCGCGTCAACCACACTGCTGCTGGCCCTATCGGACGGATGCGCGACAGGATTCGGGTTCCATACACCTGCCGGTGTCCGCATCCCAACGGTTTTCTCTACCGAGAACATCCGTTTCTCAAGCTTGTCCAAATCCTTAAGGATCTCGTCCTCAGAAGCAGCATGGCTTCTGCGGGCAGCCTCACTATTCTCCTGAATCATCAGGCGAAGCCGATCAGTCGATGCCTCATTGTCCCTGACAGATTCATGGACCTCGTGGGACAGTAGGTTAATCCTCTGCTCCACGACCTCGGCTTGCTCATCGATGGCTTGCCTCACAATGGCCTTGCTATCGGGAATAACTTCCCTTGCGAACCGTTGAACTATCATTCGCATCCTCCCGGCATCAGATTGAGTCGCAACCTCAGCTGCCAGGCGATCGACCTTGTCCTTCGTCCGTTGACTCTCGTCACTCCATTCCCTTCGCATGGAACTCACCTGACCGTTCAGTACCCTGATTTGGTCAGCAAAGATGTGGAACGCCTTCGCGACTGAGCCAGAAACCTCACCTCTCTCGAGCATCTCCTGGATGTGCAAATCGAACACCTCCTTCGCCCTAGCGTCACCTGATTCGCCGGAAGATTGGGATCTGAGGGCGGGAGGAGTCGATATCTCGATCCTCTCAGGAGCCCCACTAGCCCCGACATGTCTTCTGGGGTCATCCACGGGACAATCATCAATCCTGGATGGTCTACTCGGGGTAGATCCCCTTCTCCGGCTATCGCCAGATCGAGGATCAATGTTGGATGCACGTGACTCGGGGGTGGAGTGAATGTGAACATCAGCGGGATCGGGCATCTCCTCATCCTGCGGAGTTGAATCCATCGGTGAGGGGCTAGCCCTCCTCGCCTTTGACCTATCGGTCTCAGCGGCGAGAGGTGACGGTCTTTTCGCAGAAACACTACGTTCCCTGGCAGTCGAACCCCATTGAGGTGTGAACTCGTTGCTAGACCTCAGAGTTTCAAGATCACTGGTATCTCGCCCTAACGGGCTAGCGATCGACGGATGATCTTCGATCCCTAGTGCATCGGCAAGCCGACCATCTCTGGCACCTGTCCTAACAACATCGGCAGCCCGCTCAGTGATCCTCGGTGAACCAGTAACCCGGTTCGAGTTCACGTCTCTCTGACTCAACGGACCTCCAAATGTGATGTTGGGAAAGGGGGGAACATTCGGGGAATCACCAATCGCCGGGGGACCTACCGGTCCCTCGCGGTCATGAATGGCCTCCAATCCCCGAAGAACTTCCCGACTGTCCCTGGCTCTCTCTCTCTCGCTTCGGGCATCCCTGTCAACGCGAAGGTCCCTGGCGGCTCCACGAGAGAGGCTCCTGGGCCTCGCAGCATCACGGATCCTAGCATTTCGTCGTGGTTGGTCCTCCTCCTCATCACGGCGATCCGCAAATGCGGCATACTCGTCATCATCATCGAGCTCAAACTTGGCAGCGGCGGGACTAGTCCTTGCAGTCTCACGGCTGCCTGCATCTCGGCGCGAATGGCTCTCCTCCTCATCCGCAAAATTGTAATCTTCGCCATCATAAGACTCAGATTTGGCAGTATTAGGGTTGGGCCTACCGGCATCAGATCCCTGCTTTGAGCTACTGCCCCAACCTGCGGTTGATTTCAACAGATCATCGTATCCGAAGTCTGTGAATTTCCGCTCCTCGTGCTCATCAAACTGACCTGGATTCTGAGAACCAGTGGATCGGCCCGGGATACCTCCCGGAACCAGAACCATAGTCCCTGGTCCCTGCGGCCTACTCCCAAACTCATCCGAGACCTGCGACTCACCTGGAACAAGAGATCTCGGAGGTCGAATCGGCATGGCTTCCGGGTCATCCGAATGAGGGCGGGCCATGTCCATCGCCATGCTGGTGAAGTCAAAATGTCCACGCCTCTGACCTGATTCAGAGCCACTCCTACCGGAGTAAACCCTTCGTGTCTGCTCGTCATCAGTGGCCTGGCGGAAAATACGATCGTCTCCATCGTCGGCGTACCTGCCACGGCCCCTGGGTGTATCCCTACCGGGATCTTCACCCCTGCGGTCCTGACCTGTCGAACCTGCTTCGAAATCCTCGTAGTCATAGTCCGGCAGGTCCTCACCTGAGCGGAGGCCACCTAGGATGGCCTCCTCATCCACGACGCTCCTGCGAGATCGTGGGGTCGACATAGAGCTTGTAGTTGATGGTCTCAAGCGCGTAGGAAAGTCCTACGGCTGATAACCTGTGATTCGGGCACGAGCCTGTGCCCAGGCAATGGGTAAGTTGGGGTAAACAAGCCACAAAAGAAAGGTTCCCCAAAAGCAAACCAATCCCCGGTCCCAAAGATCAGGGTTTCCCACACACCAGAGAACAACAACCAAAGGAAAACAAACCAAACCAGAAAAGGATACCCGCAACCTAGATCGACGATGAACCGCACGGGCGATCCCCACCAACCTACCCCGGGCCGAAGTCTCTTTCTCCTCCGACACGAAGGCGGTCGACGTGAGGGCCCGGCGACGCTCATCCGAGGCGCGCCGGATCCAAAACTTGAGCCAAAACACCACAGGTCGGTCACTAACGCGACGTCCCTGATGATGATATGAACCATGGCTAATCACATCTGTGCATCTTGTTCCCTCGGTTCTATGCAGCCTCTTTTTTCAGTGGATGCAAAATCCGCCACGGTTCATCCATTTGTTCTGGCGCGGGAATCCGTCCATCCACAGTAATTGCACAGAATCCGGAAGCATGGGTGTGTCTTTTTTCTAGGGAACTTCCGCAATGGTGGGGTTGTATTTGGCTTCCCTTTAAACCAACCCCAAGCGGATACCCTCAGAAAAAGGCATACCGACATGATTCTCTTCTCTGTGTACCCAGGCCAAGGTCGATTCCGCTTTGTATGCCAAGCTTGCAGGGCATGTGCCCACATCACCGTGAAAAGGGTGTGTGTGTGTGTGTGTGTGCTTCTTTGCTTGTTTGTTTGTGTGTTTGTTTGTTTGTTTCTTTGTTTGTCGTAGTTCGTCCACCCCGGTGTGGAAACCATATGGGGAAGGAGGGACAGGGTCGGGGCCTGTTTGAACATGCTTGAACTATTGTTTCAAAAGCTTCCCTTGAGTTCTCCTTTTTTGCCCCCGGGGAGTGGGGTGGGCTATGGAAACCACCCACGAACACCTCCAAACCGCCCCCCCCCCCCCCCAAACAGCCAATTGCAGGGAAGCTGATTGGGCTCGAGGGTATGCAGCCCAGTCCTAGGCTTTAGTTGGTTACATTGTGCAAACCCTGCAGAAACCCGTTTCATGCTGCGGAATTTCTATGAAGTGCTTTTTCAGGGATCCCTTCGTATGAAAGTGAACATGTTGAGGGGATTGTCAAAATTTCCTTTGGTTTCCTTTACTCACCATTTAGAGTCGGTGCTTTTGAGGATTCTTGCTAGACTTTCTCGCGCGTGGCGCCAGCAACTTCGCCGCTAGCTCCCCCAACACCTTGCCCCCTGAAACTCCCCCCGCATCTTGTAGGGAGTTTCTTGAAAGCCTGCAGGCCCGCCCTTCCGACATTTGGGTGTCCAATTCTTCTACCCCAAAGAAGGGCTACCCCAACAAAGACAACACCCACATCTTCTGTGCGAGTTGCTTGAAGCTGGGGATTTTTCTTTGGAGATTCCAACGGCAACCGATGAATGTTGACCTCAGCTTAGTTAACCCCTCTTCATGAATATTGGGGCATTCCTGGGTTTGGTGGGGAATCCTCACGTTTGCAGGGGAACAACAGGCCCAACATTCATGAACCGGGGTTGGTTAATATGGGGCCAACATTACTTGAGAGAGGGGCGAGCAACCTCGCAGGGTGCAGACTCACAGGTGGCCTCGGCTCTTCTATTTCCAGTGATGAGTTCCAGGTTGGCTCATATGGCTAGGTCCCCCAGTAGTGCCCTTTCACCCGTTTTTGGGTTCCCCTACGAAGGTAGACAAAACAGGAAGAAAAGATGGTACCCTTATTCTAGCCATATGGGGTCAACATAAGACCCCAGGACCCCGACCCCGAGGACCCAGACCCCGACCCCGAGGACCCAGACCCCGACATACCCCGACCAGACGAGGAGAGCCAACTGGTGCTGCTGCACTGGGCCTTCCTCTCCACTGCTGTGACCATCTGTTCCGGGGCCATGGCGGAGCGCACCCATCTGACAGCACCTTCGGATCGGAATGCCCTAGACACGCATATATACATATATATAAATACATGTATGTATATATATATATATACATATGTATGCATACGTGCGTACATACGTCCAAACATCCTTTCATGCACAGTTACATACTTCCTTATGCATCCATAGGCGCATACACATACATACATATACATATATATATATATGTATATGTACAAATACATACGCGCACAAACACGCAGATACATGCATACTTGCAGACATGCATACAGGCGTACATGGATCCACACATCCATCCACCCGTCATGGATCCATACCACCATACATCCATAATTCCATTCATACATCCATGGCACACATCCACGCATCCATACACACATGCATGCGTATGTACATACATCCAGACATGTATACATCATACATCCATCCATACATGCACACATCCATCCATGCATTCATGCGAATGGACACGCACACACACAAACACAAACACTAACACACACACACACAAACAAACAAACAAACAAACAAACAATCAAACAGAAACAAACAATCAAACACACACACACACAAAACAAACAAACAAACAAACAAACAAACAAACAAACAAACAAACAGACAGACAGACAGACAGACAGACAGACAGACAGACAAACAGAAGCAAACAAACAATCACACACACACACACACACACGCACAAACAAACACACACACACAAACAAACACACACACACACACAAACAAACACACAAACACACAAACAAACACAAACACACAAACACACAAACACACAAGCACACAAAACACCCACCCACCCACCTGCCCGCCCGCCCGCCCGCCCGCCCACCCGCCCGCCCACCCCCCACCCGCCCACCCGCACACCCGCCCACCCGCCCACCCGCTCGCCCACGCGCGCACGCGCGCGCAAGCGTACACGCACACACACACACACGCACGCACACACCCACCCACCCACCAACCCACCCACCCACCCACCAACCCACGCACGCACGCACGCACGCACAAAGACCGAAAGACAGAAAGACAGAAAGACAGACCGCACGCACGCACGTTCAATCTACAAACGTACCTACATACATACGTATGTACATACATATGTACATGCATGCCTTGCTTTCGCGTTTTCTTGTGCAGTGCAGTCATTTGCTCATATGCAGTGATATAGATACATATAGAGGCAGAGATACCCCTTTCTTGATGTTGCGGTTATAGGGAAATTCACAACAGAACTCCACGTTGCCGGATTCGGCCAAGTACCTTTTGAAGATTGCTAGTTCCAATCAGGAATGCGCCATTGCCACAGTTCGGAGAGCCGCTCGTGTCTTGCGAGGTGGTTTCCCTTGTTTTCAACCAAAAGGGTTTGGGGAGGGGTCCACTAAACAATCCCAGGCACCTAGCAAAAAGCTGGGTGAGAGTTGACTTTGTGAACGAAGAGCAACCCTTCGGACTGCAGCTTGCGCTCGTCCACAAGCTTGTGATTTTTCAATTTGAGGGAAGCACTTGTGCGCTGTTGTAGGCTCTTGTCATTTGCAGCTGGCGGACATCCATGGTGAACATAAAGGGCATGAGCATGACACACTAAATGTGGCTTCAAAGCTCCTGCAAGCCCATCCTTATTTGTCGATGCCCTGTGTGGTATTCCTCCCTCTTGTCGCTTGCAGCCCAGGCATACCTTTGCTACGCAGTGGCCTGGATTGAGTCGCGTTTCTCTTTCGCTAGCCGTTGAAGCGAGAGCGGCCAACTGTAGCAGTTCTTTGTGAAACCTCAGGTGTTCAATCGCGCCCCTAACGGTTTGCTTCCTCGAGAGGGTGGGCTTGTCGTTCCTGCGGGTTTATTTTGTTTTGTTTTGTTAGGTTGGCTGGTTTGTCTGTTTGTTTTGGCTGTCCCTGAAGTTCTCTATATTACTGGCAGAGGGGTCTGGCATTCAGGTTGTGTAGAATAATTGGTTGTTACCTTTTGCTTCTCCGGATTTTTCGGGATACGATCATGGGATGGATGTCAGAACAAGGCCACGGGCAACATGCGGAGAAGGACAGGCTTGCCGAAGCTGCAAACACAATCCGAATGAGCAAAAGCAAGACCCAAACAGGAGAAAGTGCACGCCAAGGCCACAGAAAGGATGATAAGGAGTTTTGGTGGCGCGCGTGAGTAAGGGCTTCCATTTTCGCCATGAGCGCCACAGCGGCATGGTGCTTGGGGAAGTTCAATGGTGGCACCCTGCAAACACTCGGCCCCGCGCCATTGGGGAAGTAGTGCTATGAAGTCGAATGGGCAACACCCCTTCAAAATCAAATGGCCGGTGAACATACATCCCAGCGTAAATGATTTTGAACTTCAACCATTTAAGTTCCTTGTGCAGTCCCGTAGCGCAGCTTTTGGTGGAGATTGCTTCCAGCGATAGCTTCCAGGGTCCAGAGCACATTGCCCGGGAGTGGACAGGCTACGAAATCGCTAAACTCTTCAGCGGGAAGGTCGCTGGTTGGGAAGCGAGTACAGTTGGTTTGTTATGGATGGATGGACGAAATCCTGCACCACTTTGAAACCATAGGAAGCCATAAGGAAGGAATTGTGGGTTTCTCAGGTGCGAAATGGATTTTGTCCATTCACAGCATGGATGGAATTGACTTCGCTGCAACCCGCAGGTGGCGATGTCCGGATTTGTGTACCCGATCCTGGCCGACAGTGTGTGGGGCTGCTTGGCCGGAAGATGGCGTCTTTGGCCAGTCCGCTGGACCGGAAGTGGGTGGCGGGGTTTCTGAAAAAAAAACCTTGTTCATACTGCAAAGGAGGCGCAAAGGTAGCACCCGGAAACCAAAGTCGCCGCACATCTTTTGACCTCTACAATCCCCCCCCCCCTCCCACAGATTTTCGGCTGAAAAGGCCCAGCCTTTGAGTCGCGCGCGTCGAGGCTCGGCGCCAGCGCTGCTTCATGGGGGCTTCCACTCCCTCACCGGCGCCTCGGCGAAGTGCCGATCTGGCCATGGGTCAAAATCCATCGTACCCCCAGTGAACATCCAAATCCCCAGTAGAATAGGTTCTAAAATGGGTGGCGCGTCTACCCCAAAATGGTACCATTGGTTTTACTCGGTTGCTCAAAGTGAATTGACCTGATCTGACCTGGTCCATTTTTGGGCCATGGCCGCAAAAGGATGCATTTTGTTTCGACAACTTGAGGGCTATCATAGCGGCTTAAGCTTTGTGGGTGAGACCCCAAACAACTAATTATTGGGTAGTTGTTTTTTCTTTTCGGGCGAGCCTGTTGGCCCTTGAAATGACAATTGGTGTTCACGCTGACAGAGGGAACCTTTTTTGGGGTCCAGCCCCCCTCATTAACAGAGAACCCCCACCGATGATTGAGGGTCCCGTTGGGCTCAACGCAAACCACTGCTGTCATTAAAGGTCGTATTGCCCAGAAGGGGCCAAGAAGGCAAGACCCAAAGAGGTCCTCGTGTCCAATTCAGTAGGGGGGTCCTCCAAAAAGTCTCAGTTCTGCCAATCAGAAATGACCGTGACCTCCAACCGTTCATAAGGCACCCACCGTGTCGCGACACATCGAAAGTCTCGGTGGCCCGTCCTCGCATTCCATGCCTGAGGGGGCCTTCATGAGCCTTCATCCTTTGATCTCGGTGAGGCCACGAAGTCATTCGCCCTAAGGACCTTCAAACGGATGCCTTCCTCACTCTTCAAGCTGCAAGTACCATGGCAAGTCCCATTAAATCAAAGGAAAAACTGTGTGTTATTGGCTGTGAGGTGCTGCAGTGCTTGATCTTTGCAAAAGGGAAGCACGGAAACGGTGATTTCTCATGGGAACCTCAGGTCACAGCTACTACGACTACGCGGGCGGCGGCGTGGTGCATCTTGCTGGCGGTATGGCAGCCTTGGTGTTCTCCCCAGTTTAGGGAGTGTGCTGGGATGGGCGTGGGTGAGGTGAAGCTTAAGAATTCCCTTTGATTTGTTCCATGGAGCTCTGGAGGAAACTCAACTTTGCATGGCAACATATTTTTTTGTTTGCAAATTGTACCGGTTTGCCCAGCTAGGAATTCCCTGCATTCACGTACTCCAAGTGATTCTCCGAAGCCCCTAGGGTTGTAATAACCAAGGTGAAGACAAATCTTGCGCCACATGGGGCTTCACCATACGTCTGCTCAAAAAGCAGCTTGTTTCTGCCCCCTCGCTCATCTCATTGACTCATTGCTTGGCTCACAAGGTGGCTGGCTGGGCCTGGGGACTGCTGTGCCCCCCAACAAATCGGGCCGTTGGGGCACCAAGTGATCTTGAAAAAGAGTGCAAAAGGAGCTTCCCTGCTCGCTAAGTGGGAGGGAGCTGCGTGCCTAAGATGCAATTCCTTGAGCCCCAATCTGGGGAATTAAATGATGGCATATTTTTGGCGCACGCTGGGGCATCGTATTTTCTGGTTTCCCCCATCGGCAAATATGCTTTGAGACAGCTCTCAACGCGCTACCGTTTCTACAGCAAACCTCCAGGCTCTAACCAGGAGGATTTGAGAGCCTTTGGCATCCACAAAAGCAGGCTCAAGACTTAGCTGCTTTTTGCAGGCTGCCATGTTTGGGTAAACAAACGGCAGTGAGCCTCGTTGTTTTCCTTGGGCTCAGTTGATCACCTTTTGGCTTCACTTGTTTGATCAACTTTAAGTAAAGGTCTGTTTATTTCCAGGCTTTTTGGGCATATGATTCCAGCCCCCCCCCCCCCCGCGGAAAATCCGAGTTCTGAGGCCGGAAACCTTCTGGTGGGCAGGCGTATCCTGCGGCCACCAGCCAAGGACCGAGCGATCGACATCTCTTCAGGCTCCCCGGTTCCCCTTAGGTTGGATTGGTTGGGGACTTAAAGCCTGGTGCTTGTAGAGGGCAATTGGGAAGCTACCCCCCAACCGGAAGGAAGCTGACTTTTGGCTGCGGAAATTACTCCCCGCAGATGACCATTGAACCCAACCTGGCTTCTTTTGTGCTACCCCCGCCCCAAGGCTCTGTCAGATGTACGTTCAATAGTTCATTTTTTACTTTCATGCTTTGCGCTTCAAGCAAGTTGTTGTTTGACGACTCCTATGTGTCCTTGTCTCGGAATCAGGGAACCCCCAAAGTGAGTGAACTTTTGGTGCCCACACCGGGTAATGACCAAGCTGAACAAAAAGACACGCCCAAAGGGCGAGGGACGATATAACCAGAAATATTGGTTTCGGGGTGATTCTGGATCGGTTTTCCAGGGTGATGAGCTTTGGTTTTGGCAGTCCATTTCCTGTCGGTTTCTGGCGATTGAATATTTGCCTTTTAGACGATCCCCGCCAAAGGAAAGCTGTGAGAATGGCCCAGGAGGTGATTTTGAAGCCACTACAAAAAGGAAGATTATTCACCAGGCTTGGGCCAGCTTGTCTGGACATGACTGTTGTTTAAACATCCTCCTGTCTTCCTTTTGAAAGACCCTTGGGTCGGTTCCCGACGGCATTCGCATCAAACCCGGCGTTGCCCCAGGACTTCATCCAAGCCGCGAACACCGCGGCGAGCCCGCTGGCCCAGGGGGTTCCCCGGGACCCAATGGTGTCTTTGGTTTTCAGCGTGGTTTTCAAGGGAAGCAAAAACGACAGCTCCCTAGTTAAGTCACACCCACACCAAAGACCCCTGGTCCCAGCCAAGATATCCACCCTGTTGAGTCTACGCACGGTTCTGGTACCGCATTTTGATTGCTTGGTGAGCACCTTTTGAACACTTTCAGGTTCCAGGTTTGTTTTTGCCAGGGCCTTGTGAAGGTCAACTAGGCCCAACGGGTCAAGAACCCTGCGGGTCTTTTAGGGGTGCAGCGGGCAGGTTGCGCCGGTCCGCCATCCAGTCGTTCCCGGGAGATTCTTCCCAAAGCACAAAGGCTCGGAAGCCAACTGAACCAGATTGTTCCTGTCTTATTGATGTATGGGCCTTCGTGTCCAAGTTGCTTTCAGTTTAGCCTAAATTGAGGGACTGAACTCATCGCCAACGCTTGTAGGAGAGCAAAGCACCTCTCCGACCTCGGCGCAAGCCAATCTAAAACACAGATGCATTGACAGGCCAACAGGCGCGCGCGCCCGCGCAAAATCAAAATGACAACCGAGCTCGGACGAAGTTGAGCTGTAATTAGTTTGTGCTTATTTCTGTGCTTCTGTGTATTTTCAAGTAAGCCTGCTTGTTTGTGCGAATGATGCACCTTCCACTGCCCATGCAGGGGGTTTGGTATCGATTTTTCTCCGGATCGGATTCCCAAGGCATTGCTGCCTGATCGACCAGCTCTGCGGGAGATAGCTTTCTTGCTTTGTGCTTCAGGTGGCACAAGTGGGCCTCAACAATTGGAATGGGGCATTGGGTGAAAACCAAATTGAGTCAGAGGCGAATCGTGCGTGTGCAGTTAGTTGTAAATCCTTACATAGCTATGTTACCGTAATTTGCCATTTGCTCGGGCGGCTTGCTTCGCGCGTTCGAGCAGTTACCCCACCGCATCCCTCGTACGGAGAAAAACAAATCCGCTGTTTGGGTCTGAGGTGACGAAAAGGAGCGGCTCAAGGCAGGGCGCAAGCTTCTTGTTGGTTTCAGCCAGCCTAGGGAGGGCTCAGGTCCCAGCGAAAGTGGGATTCAGTTTGCAGGGTATGTGGGCCATCCAGTGACAGACTGTCGGCTTGCGCGCCCTGGGCCCAAGCTGTTGCGGGCAAGCTTCTCACGACAGGTGGAAACGCAAAGTACAAGAGACGCTTTCCTGAAACGGCTTCCAAACAGGACGTGTCTGTGCACTTCTAAACAACTAGCGTCATCACCAGTAGCAACATTCTAAAAACTGGCTGGAAAGCAGGAGGGACTCCGGGACAGGACGGGGGGGGTCACTAAGTCTCCCACCAAAACCAGTGGACGCATTACTTGCCCCATATCCGTTCGGGAAAAACACGCGATCTCCAAGCAACACCTCAGTCGCCAGGAAGTTCTACAAGAGACCTGGCAGCGCCGCTTCGACCGCGCGGAGGACGCGAGAGAACGGGAAATTATTCTCTTGGTGGGGGGCGTGGTTGTTCACAGGCATTCTTGTTCCCGTTTAGTTGGTTTGTTGTCAACAAGGTCGCTGGGCGTATCTGGAGGGTGTGATTTCTCTAACAGCTCGGACGCATGGGGTAAAGCGTGTCCTGTGCCCCATGCGGGTCCTGTCCTCAAGGTCCATGAATTCATCAATTGAATAAACCCCGAAACCTGGCCTCGAGGCTCTGGAGGTTTCTACCAAAGAGGAAGCCATGAGCATAGATCTCCTTTGTGGTAACTGGTGGAAAATCCATGGTGGGGTTCCTGGTTGGTTGTTTCCTAACCCAGGTTTATTCATTTTGCCAAAAGGACTCTTCTGGTGTAAACGGTTTCCCCTTCTAAGGGACTTTCCCGGTTCTTCTTTCCACGGGGTTCAAAAGGTTGGCCCTGGCGGGGGCAAAAAAGCCACCGAGGCTGCCCAAACAGTTGGGTTGGCAAATCCGAAAGCGGCCAGGACGATGAGAAGGAGTTCAGGCCCAACGGCTACCTGCAGGCGGGGAGAGCTTGAGTGTGGCCAGCCACCTTTGATGCGTCCGAGCCAGAGCCTTGTGGGTCTGTCTGTTTTTCTGTTTTCTATTGCTGAGGCGCGGTACCCCTTTTTTTTCTGTGGCTTATGCAGGGAGCCCAAAAGGAAGGCCAGAATTTGAGGGGGGACCCCTCAAAAAGACACAGCCATGTCAACCAAAATTGGAGGGTGAGCGGATTTTGGAATGGGTTGAGATATCCGGCCCTTTGTTTGATTCTCGCAGGTTTGGAGTGCGACTTAGCAAAGGGAGCCCCTTTGGCGGGCGAGGTCCCCATCCTCCCACTATGGCTAAACCCCAAGCCGCGGTTCGACGGGTTCAGCCTTTGAGCGCTGTGTGTCCTTTAGGTTGTTCCACTACCTTTCATGGATGTACAGGGCGGCAGAAACCTGTGACCATCGGTGCAACCGTGGCCTTTGATTGGGACGGTGACCCCTTCCAGGGGGCCAATTCATTGAGAGGGTGCTGATGAATCCAGTTGGCCTTTCTTCACCTACCTGCGAATGCCAATCAGAGAGATCCGCACACGAGCTCATTCCGGGAACCATCCCGTTGGTCGGCCCTGCCCCTTTCTCACTGCAAACTGGTTGCCAATCAGTCTTTTCTCGCTTGAGGTGACCGTGCACCGAAGTCAACGCATATGTAGTGCCATTCAGGAGCAGCAATCTGGTGGGATCTGGTGGGCAATGCTTGCTACAGATGTTTAATTGCTTCTTTCTCGGCGAACATGGAACATTATCCGATATTATCCATTTCTTGCCCAAGCCACTTGGCACGTTCCTCCGAAAGGCCCCTTCAATCTGAATACGAGAAGAGACTGTCCTGGACCAGAGAAAGGGCCATAGCCAAATCAGGTACAAGTGAGGAGTCCCATCATATTCTTTCAGCTTTGATTTTCAGGGTCTGTGGGATCCAAGTCCCTCGTGGCCCCTGCGTCAGGTGATGGGGACCTTCACTCTGTGGGTGGGCTGTTATGGCTTCAACGCCAGCCCGGCGTTCGCTCGAGGGGATAGCGCCTGGCTCGCGAGCATTTGTCGTCCCGGCCGCGTGCAGCACATGTTCTAGCATCCTAGAACCAAGAAATGGTCGATGTGAGGTGTACAGGTTGGTGAAAAGTAGATACCACAATTTCTAACCCATGTCGGTTTGGTCATCCCCTGAGAAAACATGCCCACATGAGTTCAAACACCCTGAAAGTCCACAATCTGCTTTCGCAGAACATCCGTTTGAACATGTTTGAACCCTGTGACTTTTTGTTTGTTCACCCCCGCCCCTGCATGCAAATGTTGGGCCTGAAAAGGCCGTTCTTCCTTGGCAAGGATTTCTTTAGAAATGGCGAGCTAGTCTTGTAGATGTTTGCAGATGGTTTGCCCTAGTGATTCCTGCTATTCAATTTGAGCAACACGAAAGCCAAAGCACAATAACTCCACTTTTCCTTTGACGCACCAAACGAAAAGCCAACACATTTTTGTCAGACATGTCTAGTCATTTCCCCTCCCCTTTATTTTCAGGAAAGAACCCGTTCAACACGAGACAAACAAGTCCCAACCACTTCTGACTCCCACTTCTCACTTTCAGTGCCGCTCCCAACAGGTGGCCACCTGGTATTTCCAGGCCTTTTGCAAATGAGGCCTTTCGAACGCGTTCAAATAAAACAGACCGCAGCCGCCACTTTGGCGCATTTTGCTTGGATGTTAGGACTTCAACTTCTTGGCAAC